TTTTCGCTGTATAACAAATATAGTTGTAAGACAGCACCAAAATAAGACTCCATGAAAACCTCACCTTGGAGCTTGTCCAATGCTAGTGAAATTGGTCTCATCAGTTCCAACCACTCATTAAGAAAACTCAAATCTATATTGCTGAACTTCGGCAGCTGCAAACGTTCCATCACAACATTTACTTTATCGCGAAGACTATATATAATGCTATAACAGTCAAATTCAGAATTCCAGCGTGTCCCATTCGGTTTGGGTATTGTTCTGCCTAAGATTTCATGCACAATTTCAGCAGCTTTTGAACTCTGGTGTGATGCGGTGCTGAGAGAGACACACTTACTGGATACTGATCTATATATTCTTTTGTAGTTTGAATCATTATTCAAAGCTTTACTTGCATCAGTTGTAGCAAGCAAGTTTAGAGTGTGTGAAAAGCAAGATACATGAGAAGGAAGATAAATTCCGGAGCTGTCATCTATATTACTTTCCAAAAACTTATCACCAATCTCAACTGGAGTCATTTCTGTATCATCATCATCATCAACATCTATTTGCGAATCATCAGAAATACCTGCCTCTGCAAATTCCTTGAATGCTTTCACGAAATTGCTACCATTGTCTGTCACGACATTTACTATTTTCGATGAATCCAGATCAAACTCGCTGTGAATGTTCACCAACATGGCTGCAATTTTGTCATACGAATGAATTCCACGGAACCTACGGAAGGCAAATGTAACGCCATTGCGCTTAAAATCATCTGGATTTATCCAATGGCAAGTTACTCCAATATAACATCTCCATCAGCTTCAACTACTTCATTAAAATAGTTCCTAACTACTAAAGGCATCTTTTTATCAGCCATTTTCATCAAAATCACTTCAACACATATATTTATAATGTAAACAAAAACACTTCAACACCTATATCTATAATGTAAACAAAAACACTTCAACACGTATATTTAAAATGTGAACAAAAACACTTTAACACATATATTTATAAGGATTGTTATATATATATATATATATATATATATATATATAATAACTACTATATATAGCGTGCATGTGTATATAGATCATATAGAGTCTATGATATAGATATATAGATGTCAGAGTGATGTGAGTTAACCACCTTTTAATGACTCAATTAGCCAATGGTTATCTTAACATCCCGCTATCCATGACTAAACAAGAACAAATGTTGATAAGAGAGATAAACAAGAATGTCAATGTGAAAATGTGTGTGTGTGTTTTCATCACAGTTTTCAATTTTTAAATGTTGACATTATCTTATTTTTGCTTAAAATTTTTCTGGTACTTACAGGAAAAATTTATTACTTATAAGTACAGGTGCTGAAAAATGTACTTAAGTATAAGTGTTTAAGTACAGGTTTTAATGTGTACTTAAGTATAAGTATCTAAGTGCTATATTTGACGAGTACTTAAGTACATTTGTACTTAAGTACTCGTCATCACTGATAAAAAGTACTTTTTCTCTGATCATTTCTCTGAATAAATTCGTTAATAATTGAATCCAAGTCCATTTCGTTTGCCACATCCTTGTGAAAATGAAGAAGAGATACAGAATTGAGTCGTTTTTGTCCCATTGTCGATCTTAGATATGTTTTTAACCTTCTCAGCCCAGAGAATGATCGTTCATCGGTGGCGGAAGTCGTAGGAATGGTCACAAAAATGTTTAAAAACTTGACTAATTCCGAAAGAAGTTCAATTCTTCAAATTGCAAGGATTTTTTTTGTAACGTGTTAACCGTATCTATGTATCCAAATAATTTTGTTAACATTATCAAAGTAAAATAAAAATCGAACTTTTCCATCAGCCGTAAAAATCCGGAAGCTTTTGCACCAGAATCTGAGGAATCATTTTCAGCCATATCGGTAAAGAAATCTATTAATTTTGAGTAGTTTGATAAAAGAGACGACAGAGAGACATATTTGCTTGTCCATCGGGTTGGACAAAGAGGTCGGAGGCCTGTACAAACATCAAATTTTAAATTGTGAAATATAGCCAATCGTTTAGGCGAGTCCCTTACAAAGTTGATGATGTCTTTAACCATATTTAATGCATCCCTGCAAATAGGAAAATTTTTGATTGCGTCCTGAGCTACCAAATTTAATGAATGAGCCAAACAATAAATAAATAATGCTTTTTTTTCGTCCTCAAGAATTCTAGCTTGAACACCACGTTTGTCACCAGCCATGTTTCTAGCACCGTCATAACACTAGGTCATAACACGTCTACAGTTAGACAGTGGTAAATTAAATCTGAGAAGAACATCTTTGATCACCGAATACAAAGCAGCTGAGGTTGTAGATTCCACTCCGTAAAATCCGACAAACATCTCTTCTGCTTCTAATGGATTCTTTGTAAATCTTAGACAAAAAGCAAATTGCTCCTTGCGAGATATATCTGCCGTCTCATCACATATCATAGCATAAAAACCCGCTATTTTAACTAATGAAATTATTTTCCTAAGAAGAGTATGGCTCAGAAGATCTAGAATTTCGTTTTGTATACCATGGCTACACCAAGTATATGATTCAGATTTTAGCCACAATTGCAGTTCCTCAGAATCTTCACCTCTTAAGTTAAGTAAATTTACAAAATTACTTGCGTCATCATCGTGACCACGTATTGCAAGACCTTGTGACGCTAAGAACAACAGAGAAGAAAAAATCTTTTTCAGGCACTTTCGATTATTCAATAACTCTTTTTTTCTGCTCAGAAATCTGTAATTATAATAAAAAGTGTTTACATTTTAGGATAACCTGTCATGTCAAATACAAATTAAACTTTATAATCACCTGTGCAACAACGTTAACTGATAACTTCATGGTATGAGATTTAAATACGGCTTCTTTGTGGCATTGTGATCTTTCGTGCAATTTAAATTTTTCCAACCCCTTCTTCCAATTATTAAAACCCGTTTCAATGAAAGCGGTTTCTTTTTTAGAAGAAAACGGCAGACCCATTGTGAAAAATATTTCTCGACACGTGGAACAAAGAACAATATCTTTTTCTGAATCATACAGAATCCAGGGAAGTTATTGGTCCAAGTTGGAACAAAACGACGTTTTGTAATTGTAGTCGTAAATCTACCAGAGGTAACAGTAGTGGATGTGCCTTCTACTATTAAATCTGTATCCGCTACTGTGGTGTTTTCTTGGATAATTGAGTCTTCTGAAACCGTTCCAGTCCCGGATGTTTTGGCTGGCAGTTTTATCAAAAACTTATCCATTTTTATTTTTTCAAACTTGTTCTAATAAAATAAAATTTAGGAAATAAATTCAATCAAATTCATTCAACTTAATTTAATGCAGTTTATATTTATATAAAGCTTTTTAATTAAATTTTATTAAAAACACTTACTTTTACCGGTTAACAAATAAAAGCGTACGAAACAACGTGATGACAATTTTAAATTTAAATCGATTTTAACGTTTTGTTGCTATGGTAACACGACGAAACGCTGCAAAAAATTGTTTAAAAGTTGGCTACTGATTGAACGCTTACTTATTTAAGACTAACGCTCAAAAAAAGTTTACTGTAAATAAACACGAATTTTGATTAAAAATAAAAATGAAACGTTTTTGAAAACTGAATTTTCAAGTCAAAATTATTGGGGGGGGGGGCAAAACGATACTTTGCCCCCCTGAAAAAATATTGGGGGGGCAAAAAGTGCTTTGCCCCCCTAAGTTGGCGCCTATGTAGGGGAGTGTAATGAACCTTAAACTTTTAATTAATATTCTATTTAATTTGTTGCTGGTGTCTTATAAAGCTTGATGATAAATACACAAAAACATTTCATTAGTTGAGGTTCCACCAGACTATGATGGTTCTGTTATATTCGCATTCAGACAACCTACTCATAGTGCTTCATTTCCAGTTTTTAAAAGCATCACCACGAAAAAGGACCATCAGACAGATAACTCAAAGTTGTTTGTTTTTCAAGAAGACATACAAGCACTCAAACTACTCAAATCGAATATCACTGCTTCTAACAGTCTTCCTAAATATTTGTTAGTTACCATAGTTCACACGGTGTTTCACTGTTTTGTTTGATTATTGAAATTTTGTTTAATAATTTGTTTAGTTTCACTTCTACCGAACTGGCTATTAATGATTTATAATCCAATATTGTTTTGAATAATGCACATTAGCGTTATTAAGTCAATATTCATTACTTTATGTAGAAATCAAATGTTTTTATGTTATTTTTCAAAAATTTAACGCGTTGTAAAAAGAAATGGTATTCTTATATGCTTTCTTAAGAAATCGTTAATGCATTTTAATAAGTAATGAATGATTGAGTAAAAGAAATATTTGTACCTGCTCATATGAATTTATAAAATAATTCATATGCTGTGCGTTAACCATTTTTGTATTTTTACTCACACCCAATTCTACTCAAATGTATTTGTCATCATAATCAATATTTTCACTTTCATCCCCTTTATCACCATTATCACCACTCTTTCTATGGTCATTATTATCATTCACCATCAAGTAGTGGTGGAAGCAATAGAGAAAGAGGATCTGTACTCAGGTCATCATCCGTCATGGAGTGTGATGAAACAATAACAGCGTTAGAGGCGCCATCCCTTCAATCAATCACGTCCAACATTTCAACGACAACGCCAACAACTGCAATGGAGGCATCATCCCTTCAATCAATCGCATCCAGCGCTTCAAAAACTAATCAACATTTTGTTGCGACATCAAATGTATCAATTAATGCATCTAATGAGTTGGCAATGCCTGCATCGTCAATAATGACCACAACAGCATTCAAATCATTGGCAGAAACAACAAATTCATATTCAGCTGCATCGCTCGACATCCAATCTTACAGGTGCTTTGCTTCTACGTCAACATTATCATCAGCAGCATCACCAACGATATTACCCACAACACCAGTTGCAAAAAAAACATCTGCCGACATGAAGACGATGTTATTATTGGGAACAACATCAGCATCAACTATCATTACTTCATCATTATCTGATTTTACAGAATGTTTGTCATATGATGTTATTCCTGATTTAGTCACAGGTAATGAACATATTGCAAACCTTGCCAGTAACTAACGCAATTTGCAGACGATTAACAAATTATAAAATATTCTCAGTTCTGACCATCTACACTAAAGAATATCTTTTTAAAATCTTGCCAATAGCAATAAAGTTCTTAGGGAATTTTTCGACAAAATAATAATGAAATTAGAAATGGGGAGGTGATTTATAAGTCTGTTTAAAATTGAAGCTTTATTTTTATTAAACATTTTATCATAATTTTTTAAACGATAGTTGTCAATGCGGCAAAAACAGCGTCAAAATTGTGAGGTGCGAAATTAATTCAATTTATTATTATTGTTATTTTTGTTTTATTATTATCTTGTGTAGATGTTGGGTTAAAGTTCAAGATGTTGGTTGAAGGTTACTTGCTCTAGATTACCAAGATAGAAATTAGCGAAGAGAACGCCTAAAGGGGATGGATCCCATAGGCAATTCCATCAATCAATGAATGGTCAGAAATTTGTATAACAAAAGCTCAAGATATGTTGATAATATTTTTGTATATTATAACGATCCTAATCTAATCGACAATTTATTAAAAATATTCAATAAATCCACATTAAAATTTACCATTGAATATGAAAGTGATAAAAAACTCTTTTTTCCCGACGTTCTTGTCACTCGCAACGAAGGCAACTTTTAAACCTCCGTCTACATTAAAGGTACTAATAAAGGAATATGTTTAAACGGAAGTATTGAATGTACTGATGAATATAAATTAAGTACCGTAAGATCATTCATCAATTGCGCCTTCACACACTCCTCATCCCGAGACGACGTTTCACCAGAGATCAAACGTGTCAAAAACCTTCTTATAAATAATAATCACAGCGTAGATATAATTAAAACTGTCATCAATAAAAAGTTACAACGTATGAACCAAAACAACAACAACAATAATAATAGTAATATTGTCACTATTATCAACAATAACCATAAAGGCAATAACAACAACAACAACGGTAGTAACATTAACATTGCAACGCAGAAGCCATTTTTATTGAATCTGAAAAACCTTCCATTAACATACAACAACAAATCACAACAACACTTCCAACTCGAAGAATGAACAACAATAACGTTAATCTGATCAACCAGCAATCTAACAATGATGATAATAACAATAGTGATAATAACAGCAATAATAATATAAATAATAATTATAATATTAATAATTATGGCAACGCTTTTATTTTCAGAAAAACACAAAATGAATAAAATATCAGTATAAAAATAAAGTACATTATCAATTAAAATGATAATCTACATTACTCGCCATAAAGCAAATGGGTGCAAAGAGAAAATAAAAAGGGTATTAAATTGAGTTCAAATTGCGTTTCTGTCGCAGTAAACAGCGTACAATGACGATATAGCTGAATTAATCAAACTGTTAAGAAATTGATCAATCCATGTAAAATTAATTAATGGCAATTTAAAATGTTTAAAGAGATCCAAAAGTGAAATTTCAAATGTATTAATTATTCATTTTGATTGTTTCAATCAAGTAGGATGTTGTCTACTTTGATGTAGTTGTTGTGAGATTTGTTCCATAAGCATTTTATTTCGTCATTTCCGTGTGTTTTTAGGTAATGGCGGAGTTTGACTCGTAATGCTTCGGCATAATTTTTCAATGATCTTACATTCATTCCTCCTGATTTGAAAGGGAGTGAGTGATAGGCACTCCGACACATGGCCTATCCATGTTAGTGAAATGTCATAGGTTCGAGGCTCGAAAGTCAATCGTGACTGAATGTATTTGCGCAGTATTTTCAGTTTTTATTGAGGCGTTGTGCCTAGC